TAAAGATCACATAATAATATTTTTCTTAAAAATATATTTTCAATTCCTGTATATATTATGATTTTTATTTATAGATCAATTTCTCTTATATATATCCCATATGCTCGGAGGGTTTCAGTTGGATAGAATATGAACATTCGCGTCACCATTTATACAATGATTTAACAAAATTGTGTAGTAATTTTCATAATACAGTAACAAGATATAAAACTACTTATTAACCTTTTATTTAGAGTTATAAATTTATTAGTCTATATTCACAACATATATAAACATAAGGTAAAATGTTATTAAGGGAGAATATTGTAAATACTTTTATTACAAAGTAAAAAAAATATAATAGCTACTTTTCTTTTAAATTGTGGTGATACTAATGATTTTTATGAAAAAATGAGAGAACATATACTTAAAATTATTGATCCAAGTATATCTGATATATGTATAAAATATTTTATCAATATTGATAAAAATAGCATTAATATATTTGATAATCTTGATGAACTTGTTAGCAGTTATAATAAATTCTATTATGGTCATGAAAACTATTCCGACCTTCAAGCATTTATAGGCCGTATAAATTTCGTGGAACGAAGCGAATTTAATAATCGTGAGTGTATTAGATTATTACTGAAAAAATATTATGGTTATTATAAAAATTATGTGAAAACCGAACTTGAGGATAAAGCTATAATTTCTTATAGCATTTATAATGATAAGTACATTAATGGAATATTGAATGTAGTGTCATCGACGAATGAAAATGTAGATGATGCAGAAGGACAAATAGATTTTGCTGAAGTTATAGAAGCACATACGGATTTTGCTTCAGGTACTGGTACAGGTATAGGTTTTTCATCTTTTGCAATATTAGTAATTGCATTCATTTTGTATAAGATGATAAAGTAAATTCATTTAATAAATTTATATTGTATTATAATTTATCTTAAAAATAATTTAAAAATATTGATATAAAATAAATGAATAACATATAAAAATATTATCAATTTTTTTATACAGATTACCACTTGTTTTTCATTTTTATAAACAAGAGTAAGGATATTAAGGAAAAAGCTGAAAAAAAATTACAAAAATAATCTCCATCTTATGGACAAATTTGATTTTGAATACAAAAATTCAGTTGATGATAGATATAAAATACTATATAGTTAAATTAGCATAACCAATAAATGCGGAATCTTAATTATGGTTTTTGTTTTATTTTTTATAAAAAATACAAAAAATATTATTTTTGTATAAAGAAATACAATTATATGAATATTCTAATATGATACAAAATCAATAAAAAGAATTCATTATCTTAGTTATTTACAATAACAAAGGCAATTTCGATTTCTACTTATTTATTCAAGAGGAAAAAATAAATTTATTTAGTATAGGAAAAATAAATAATATATAAAAACACATTGTAAATGATAACATATAATATTTTTATATGATTATATTGCTATAATTAAATTATATACACTAACATTCATCATTATTTATAATTTGATGTGTCAATTATTGTATATTAACTCGAGTAAAAACATTTTATGTAGAAATTAATTTAAAAAAGAAAATAATAAATATATTATAAAAAGCATATTTCCAGAATGAATAAGAAAATTCAATTAAAATAGGAATATAATTTGAATACATGTACATTGATAAAATCAATCGTACATTATTTTTAATATTTCCATTAAAATTACGATTTCTGGATATTATAAAAGTATACTTACAACTGATAAAACTTAGGGCATATTGAATACATTATATATTATATAAAAATATTTATTCTAAATACATTTTTATCACTTCGAGGATATAATTACATCTATTTTAACATTATTCCGTGTGTGATCTTTTGAATTAATTCTACATTTTATAATGAAAGGCTATTGTATAATAAATAAACATATTACACCAAAAATATAATGATTTATAAAAATAATATTATTATATATATATGAATAATATTTTTTGTATTTATGAATTCTAATATAGTATATATTATTATTTATTATAAATTCCTTATTACAATACATTAGTAATAATTGTCAACGCTATAGAATTTGATTATTACAGGTTACACTTTACAGAGTTTTAAATATAATCGAAAATCATTTTGTTTTAATATAATTCTTACATTTAATCGAAAGATAAGATATTAAAAAAAAATATATCTATTTATAATACTTCAAACATGAATTCTATGCATATTAATCGTAAATATACTCTAAGAATATATACTATTACTTATATGTATTATAATATGACGAAAAATATATAGAATCAGTAAATATATACATAAAACCTCATTGATAAAGTAAAATAATGTAAGGGAAACAATAAATATACAGAAAAAAAATGTATTATATATAATATTACTACATTTAAAATAGCAAATTTTCAATAAAGTTGTTCTAAATATATAATTATATAAAAATAATATATGTTAATATATAAAGGGAAAAAAATAAAAAGTCCATAATATGCACGAATGTATATTATTTCTTTACCTTTTCTAATTTCTTCTACGATTTTTTTTTCTTTTTTTTTTCATGTATATATGTATATTTCTCCTATGATAAATATATCATATATATATTAAGGTACATTAAATTGATTACAATGATTTGAAACATATATTCATATATATAATCAATGAATGTGAATTAAGTTATTATTCTAGATAAAAATATATGTATAGTAAAATAATATATAATTAAATCATTAAATAATTATATATATTGCTTTGGAATGTTTTTATAATTTATAATATATTTTCCTATATTAGAATAAAAAAACAGAAACTATATATGAATTAGGATAAGTATATATATTTTTTAATAATATTTAAGTTTTTATAATTTATTTTTTAGTCTTCATGAACTCATATTAAATTATATATGATTACACACATTTTGATAATGAATTATTTTAATATATTTTATGATGTGTTATCATATATAATATTCTTTTATTATTATATATGTAAAAAGAAGCCATATTATAATTTTTTTTATTTCATTACTATTGTATTACAGTTTTTAATATAGTTTAGATAATCTATAGAAATCTATCCTTAGTTAATTAGTTCATTATATATTTGTATTATGCGTAATCATCTATGCCATATGATATTTTGTACTTTTTATATATACTATCATTTCTTGTTTTTTCAATTGAATCCATTAAATTTAGATGTTCATTATATTTTTTGCTTATAATTCTTCTTAATTTTCTTGGTTTTCTTTGTAAACAAATACCATAACGCGTATACTAGAAATAAAAAAATAACATGGCATTCATATTAATATATTATTAATTATTAAATTTTTTTAATAAAAAATAATATACATTATTATAATATATACATTCACAAAATTAAATTTCCTTTTTACTTTGAATAGAATGAACATTATAATTAATATTGAAAATGTTAATAAAACTACACCTGCCTCATTTCCAGTAGATGCGACTTGTGTCATTTTTTGCCTTTCTTCGTGGTCCTTAATTTCATTTATAATTTGATCGTATGATTTTCTATATTCTTTCAATAAATTAGTTAAACTAACGTTACTGCTCCTTTTAGATATTTCTAGAAGATTTTTATAATTTTTTTCACATTCTCTGGCTTTAATGCGGGATTGATTAATATTTCTTTGATTACTAAATGTTCTTAATGTTTCAAAATTTTCATACAGTTTATCAAGATATTTCATTACATGATATATAGAATTATCAAATTTCTCAACATCTTTATTATCACATACATTTGGCAGAGTTATTGTATTCACGCCCTGTTGTCTTTTCTTCAGTTTTTCGTAACAGTCTTTCGCAGTATCACACTTAGCTTCGTATAGTTTCACTAAATCCTTTAGCTTGTAAAAGAAATAATAACAATTTGATGTTATGTTAAATGTATTATCTTTTCCATTTTTGCCATTTATGTATTCTAAATAAGCACCTAATATTACACAATCGTCATTAAAATAAATTTGACTGTAGCTCAAATTTACATTATGTCCAAAAAATCTACACACAGGTGAATAACGATTTATTTGCTTCCACACGTATTGGCTATTCCAGAAAAAATTCTTAAAAGTATTTCTGCATCCGGGAAATATATCCTTAAAATTAAACTAAGAATATGAAGTCATTATTCTCATAAAAAATTAAAATTACACTATAAACAAACAATTTTTTTATTTTATGTATAAATAGAGAATATTATAAATAAAGTAAGTAATTTTCTTTTATAAAAAATTATAAATATACATCCTGGTTCACAGTTATGGAGGATCCCATTGTATTTTATGCTGAAATTAATATAAAAAAAAAATTATTTTCCATAAATATAATGCACATATATTTTTTAAACATATCAGAATAAATATTCTATACATATTATATGTATTAATTCATGAAATATATTTATATAACATTCATACATTCGATAAATTATTCATATATTTTAAACTGCATTATTACTATATGATCGTATTGGACAAATATTTTCTAAAAAAATTGGATAAAATTAAAAAATAAATTCATATAGTATAATGTACATTATAAAATAAAATTGAAAAAAATGATTTAAATACTATTATATCTATAGCATTATTTTAATAAAATTATTATAACTCTTAATAAATTAAAATGATTAGGTAATATAATCAATAATTTTATTATAATACCTTTATTTCTATTTCTATAATTGTTATATAAATTTAATATTTATGGTTCAAAATATAACACACATTATGTTAGAGATCACGCTTAGAAATCAAAGGATTATTATTTATAATTCTGTATTATATATGTTTTTGTTTTATCGCTTCTTTTTCTAGAAAATATTTCGCGTAATTAATTAAATTCTAGTCGTTAGTACATTTATTACTTGTATATAAAAAATATTAAGAACACACAAAACTAAGGTACCCTAGTTTATGTGAATTATATTAATTATGGTAAATATTCCTTCTTATTTTTTTATTACTATACATAAATTTATATGAGTATATATGGAAAAGTTAAATAAATATTTTAATTTATCATATATATTCTTATAAATGTATTATATATAGATTATATTATATTTATATTAAATTAATATATATTATATAAACAAAAAATAAATGAAAAAAAAATTTTACATCCTAAATAATATCCAATTATGTTTTTTCAGTTTTATGAATGATTATTTTTTGTAATATTTAATATAATGATATAATAATACAATTATATAATGATCACAATATTTCAGTGTATACATAAATATATATTTATTTTAATATTTGCCATTATACAATGAATGTGGAATATTTTTTATAGTAACATTAATTATTTTATTTTTTCTTTAATTTAAAATATTAAAATTATTTTTATCTCTTAAAACTATCTTACTTATTTTATTATGAAATACATGAACTAATGATATACGAATTTCTATGTATAAATAAAAAATTATAAAGTTGTTATTACCATTTTATTAATGCATTTCGCACGGTATTAATTTCATAATATATATGCCTTATTTTGTTTTAATTATTTATTAAGAAACGACGATATTTTATAATATTTGTGTACCTATTAAATATTTCTTAAAATATGTCATAATAATTAAATTTAAATATACATATATCTTATATAAGTAATATGCTTGATATAATTATTAATTTGTTATAAATATTTAAAAAATATATAAATAAAAGATATAATAATTCTATAAAACTCATCTATCATAACATTTTATATTTTCTTTCAATTAGGAATTATATAACACGTCATACGTTTCACTATTATAGTGTACAAATGCTATACTATTTATTGTATATGTTATGTAATCTTAGTTAATAATATTCAAGTTATTAAATAAAAATACTTTTATTCGGTATAAT